GCGGGAAGCTGAATTTAAAATTGCAGGGTTGTATGTGGACAGAAGACATTGCCATAAAATTTAGCTTCTGGCTTTAATGGTTCCCGAGATAATAATTTCCCGCTAAAATTTTTATGGGGCTGTAGGTGATACCCGAGAGCGTAAGAACGCTGAATTTGAATTTGCGAAGTCATACGTCGGTAGGGGGTCATTACTCCAAGATTTTAGCCTTCTGGATTCCGTGGTTCCCGAGATAATAATTTACCCGCGAAAATTTTTAGGGGCCGCTCGTGTCACCCGTGGGCAAGAGAAGGCTGAATTTAAATTTTCTGGGTCGCTCGTGCATGGGGAACGTTCCCCTAAATTTTCAACTTCTTAGCTTTTGTGGTTCCCAAGTTGAAAATTGCGGACAAGTTGCTGCGGGCACACACACACATAGACAACCATGCGTTTTGTAGTGCTGTTATACAGCATAAAACGCATTAAAAGGGAAGGGGGATATGATTATGGAATTAGCGATAAGTTTTCAACGCTGTCTGCTTCCATCTCAAAGGTTTCACGCTTTCTTGCGATTAAAATCAAAAGAGTAGTGAAAAAACCGCTATTTTGGCTTTTGTTCAGTAAAATCCTAGTCGGTGTGAATTGCAACTTTCGAAATGAGATAATAATGTTGATACACACTTAGGGCATGTTAAAAAGGCTAAATCGTTAGAGATGCTTCTATCAGGAGAACCGTTAGTTGATGTTTCCCCATCAGAAGGCGAAGTGGATATTCAGCGAGGTATCCCACAGATGACGCATCACTGAACCTAGAAACCGGAGAAGTTGCTGGAGATGTTTTGTAGCTGTTTCAAGCATGAAAACGAAGATAGTTTTAAAAAACTGTCGTATATTTGGATGAGAAAAAGGAATGTTTACATTGTTTACATTGTTCCTAACAGTATTGCTAGAATTTTCTTGTATTCAGAAGCCACGGTGTCACAAAACAGAAAGTTGGCATTGAATTTACGCAATGTCCACAAGTAAAGGCAACCATTGACTGTTTGCTCTACGAATGTAGTAGTGAATCGGTGGATGATGTGGAGCGAACGGTGCAAGAGCTGGTGGAGAGGATTTCGCTGATCCATGAGATTCTGAGCCTTTGTGAGGAGGCATTCAGTATTTGCATACAAAGGTTACTGATTGATTGATTTATTTTTTTTTTTTTTCAATAATTGTTCTTACCGTAGAAGCCCGAATGGGTGAGGCCTGAATCCGCGATGTTTTTCTCAAAACGCATCAGTACCATTCGAGAAAACGATAAATTGAATCCTAAAATGTGCAATAAGAGGGTGAAAAGGCAACGAAAGGAATGAAAGAAGTGTGAAATTTAGCCAAAAAGACACGAAAATCAACCTTCATGCCTTGTATATGCAGAGGGGATTGCCAGAGTACTACAAGGCATAATTCTTTTCTTCGTATCTTCTCTTCAACCTTTAATAATGCCCAGGCAATACGCTGCATGGAAGAAAAGCAGTATGCACAGTTTTAGGTTGAGAAAAATTCAAAATTGATGTTTATTTTCACTTCCGTGCCTCTCCATACTGAAAAATGGCTTTTATGCTTTTTGCTTTTTTTTTCAAATTTATACTTTTTCTCTCCACTCTGCATGGTTGAAGTGTATTAATTGTGGGAAACGAGGTAGAATTAGAATTTTCAATTGCGTACTATTTCAACAAGTCTTGTATTCGCATCATTATTGAACACCTGCCAGCCTTTCCGTTGTTGTTTTGATCGAAGTAACTTTTCCTGGTTGTCAGATCGGTCCTGGCGATCATTTCCGCTCCATTTTTTTCTTTAACTTTTCGAACAGAATTAGTGGGGATACTTAATTCTTTGCGCCAATTGTTTTAGTGATTATTGTATGGCCCTAACGAAAGGCCATCATTCGGAGGAAGAGATACACGTAGATTTTTCCTGCGTAAATTCCAAGTCTAAATTTTTATATTTTGTGTTTTTTTCTTTTTTTGCAATTAAATCACTTAATATTCAGGTTTCCGCATTTCAAATCGTATTACCGACTTTCGCAACTGGCACTTTATAAAGGAGATACCAGGGAAGCATCAAATTATTTGTTAAGTCGTTTTCTGACAAGGAAGAAAGCGAACTTCAATCCGGACAATATATTTGAGGTTAACTTTTTCTATTTCTGTTTTTTTTTTTCATCGTATTTTAAACATAGTTATTGGAGATTTTGAAATCATGGCTATGTAAAGTATTTTTTTTTTTGCCAAACTTACGCATTTTCGTGTACGTTTTGTGAAAGCAATGCAATTACAAAGAGTTAGGCATTCGAGTGATCCTGGTGGCTCTGCTCATCGGCGTAATAGTTAGAACACTTAGGTCAGTTGTAATTTTTAATCTGGTTCTCCACTTAAATAGTGGTAATCTACCCCTTAGTCCCATCTAACTTTAGATTTTCACTTTCCATATTTTCCACAGTTTGTCGCGACCCTAACGTTTATATTTTTAGACTAGTGTATGCCCTGTGTGTGTGCGCGCGTGTAAGACGCCTAGTCATGTATACATATTTATAAATACACAGAATATTAAAAAGGTAATACAAAAAAAGGTGGTGAGGTTCTGGGGAGCCGGAACTCCCCAGAGCAGGAATAAAAGAAACTAACAGATTAAGAAGTACTTCATGAGTTGTGGCCACCCTGGCGATGGGGAGGAGTGCTTTTAGCTTATTAAGATAGCGAAAGTTTAACGGAAGTAAGGTGTTCAAATTTTGAACCAGGGACATGGGTATTGCGTCATAGTAACGTAGTTGTTCTTTAACCTGTTTCTAACAAAAATCTATTATGTGACAGTTCGGACTGTCCGTTTACTTCAGAATTTACGGTTCGGCCTATCAAGGGCCGCAAATTATTTATCAATTTGACCCATACCTTACGATTCGGCCTTCTAATGGCTGTTACTTATCATTCCGTCTGCCTAACCCCGTGCTGCAACACGTGATATTCGGTTATCTTGATGTTTGTACATCTCGAGCAAGAAAATAACAGTTCAGTGACGTCTCCGACAAAGCACTTGACAAAATTTTGGTCACGTCGTGATTTCATTGATATATAGTTCGAGCATCACCACCTCATCAACGAAGGAATCCTCTCCAGCTAGGAGTATTGGTGTATACTGCAAGAATTTGAATAATTTTTGTAGCTGATAACGTTGCATTTCAGACAGTGATAACGATGTTTTGCAAGGATATCGATCGGGGTGACGCACTCCAGTATCATCTGGCGCGTATTTCAATGCTAGCCATTCGTATCTCAGCTCTTCTGGAGGATTACGATGCTCTCGTTACACTGATTCATACGTTTTGCACATTGGATTTTTGCAATAACAAGTGAGTCGCACTGGGCTAATTCGAGAATTCGCGGCAGTCTTTCCTGAGAATTTGTCCCATTGCAATTTTTATTTTTGTCGCCAAGGTGCACCTGATTTCGATGCCCAGAACTTCACTATGTATGATAGGAAGTTATAATAGGAAAAAGTGGAAAAAAGACAAAAAAAAAAAAACCGGAAAAGGAAAAGGAAGGTATGAAATGAAAATTAGGAAATTTGTGAAATAATTATGATAATAAGAAATGTTTCGGTCCATTAAGTCTTCTGCATTTCTTTCCTGAGACTTTGTTCCGTTGCAGTTTTTATGCGTTTTTTGCAGCAATGCAGTGCGAAAAACGCATATTGACGAGAGGTTATCTGTGTGTATGTGTCTGTGTGTGTGTGCTTGTGTGTGTGTGTGTCTGTGTGTGCGCTGGGCCTCTGTACCGATTTTTCATCTCGAGACCGGCAA